CAGGTTTGTGGGTGTTGAACAACCCCTCTGTGATTGCAGTTCATATTGTGTGTAAAATGGCATTTGAGGCATGCTGACTCGGGACCAAAATTTCTGTTTATATTTAATAAATGGATAAAATAAGACTCTGAATTAACTAATTATGACTTTCATCCTCATGCTAACATTTATTTCCTTTCAGATATCAGCAAGTGCAAGGATGACCCACCTACTCAGCCTCATTTGAGGACATTTCCAGTGATATTAATAGGAGACAGAAGACGCAGCTTTCAGCCAAGCTGGTATGAAAGTCATCCTTGGGTTGAATATTCTGTTACTATGGACTCTACTTATTGTCATGCATGCAGACATTTTAGCCCACCCAGTAGCGCAGGAAGTGTGTTTGACTCACCATGTGGATTTAGGAACTGGAAAAAAGCAACTGAGAGAGGTTTTTTTTTGGTACATGCAAAGTCTGAAAGGCAAAAATTGAAACTGTCTGAAAATTGTCTGAAATTGTATTGTGCACATATTTAATATGTTTGAATGTTTATTTTTCATATGTACAGTACATGTAATCTTCAAATAAAGTCACAAACTATAATAATCAACTAGAATAATTTTTTGCTCAAGTCTCATGTTGCGGTGAAGCATTCAGAATTGTTATCCGAGTACCATAAAAACATGCCAGTTTTACTTTCACAAGTAAACCATTACTGCATTCGCTGTAATAGTTTGCTTGTTAATTGTCTTCACTTATGAATTTATTTGAATCTTATTTTAGTAAAATACAGCTGTAAAAGATCATAGATGAAAAAAGTAAAGGAAATTTTTTGATAAATTTGATCCCCAAAATATAGTTAAGATAGATATGAAGAAGAGAACAAAAAAGTGAGCAGTTTCACAGTACTAGGAATTTCCTTTGGCAAAATTGTGCACAAGCACAAAATTAGTTGTATGGCGGAGACAAAAAAGAATTTTGATATTGCCCTAATTTTCCCCTTTTTTGTCTTGCGCCCCCATGAAAGAATACTGGCCTCACTGTGGCCCCCCTGGAAAATTTGGTCTAGAACCGCCCCTGGCTGTTCTCATAGTTACGGTATAGCAGCCACAGCCATTTGTGGCTACGGGCGCTCGGCCTCCCTCATAAATTTACGCGATTATGAACGCTAACGCGATATCTTCAGCCACCGTTACCCGCAAGTTACGTGTGGGGAAATCTGTCCGAATTAAACACCGGCTTTTAGCCACTGGCCCAGCTGCGTCCATCTGCTCTCGTCTATTTCCAGGCGAGTTGCTGCTCATCTAGAACAAGGCCAATGCTACTAAGGAACAGATCCAGAGGGCAGGAAGTCTAGAGAAATGTTTTTCTGATCCATTACCTGATTCTGGAGCTCCGATTGTCACGAAGACCGCAGAATATCTTCTCTGGTTCTGGAAAGAACTCCACCAAGTTGTTGAGGAGGAGAAGAAAGTTTCCACAGCCTGGTGTTGGTTTACAGCGCTGCTGCTACAATCTGCTAGCGTCAGCCAGGAGCTTCTTCCCTCTGCTTTATGGTTGTTGATCGTTATAGCGCCGCCACCAGGTGGACCAGCACGTTCTTCAGTCACCAGAGTGAATGGGCGGGGCTAACCTCGTTTTTGAAAGAGCCCTCCGCTGGAGTTCAATTCAATTTAATTTTATTTATATAGCGCCAAATCACGATAAGAGTCGTCTCAAGGCACTTCACATAATAAACATTCAAATCCAGGTCAGTTCATTAAGTCAATCAGAAAAAATGTTTCCTATAAGGAACCCAGCAAGTTGCATCAAGTCAGTGACTAGTGTCACTAGTGACTTTATAGCAGTCCTCATACTAAGCAAGCATTTAGCGACAGTGGAGAGGAAAACTCCCTTTTAACAGGAAGAAACCTCCAGAGAATCCTGGCTCAGTATAAGCAGCCATCCACCACGACTCACTGGGGATCGAGAAGATAGAGCGCACACACACACACACACACACACACACACACACACACACACACACACACACACACACACACACACACACACACACACACACACACACACACACACACACACACACACACACACACACACACACACACACACACACACACACACACACACACACACACACACACACACACACACACACACACACACACACACACACACACAGTCTGCTTATTTAAAAGTTAACCTTACCTGGCTGCCGCTGGGATTACCAACATCTGGGTCCTTCCTCAACCTTTTCCCACAACGATTAAAGTAAATAAATAAATAAATTGACTTATTTTGTTTTATGTGCCAGAGCTGAGTCCCTTAGTAAAATCCCTGATTTTTGTTTTTGTTTGGGGTTTTTGATCACAATAAACTAATATGAATACCTTTATTTCTCATTGGGGAAATTGCATTATTCCAACAGCTCAAGAACAGAGGACAGCAGCAGTAGCACAGAAAAAGATCCCACACGAGAGAATAATTGTAAATTAAGATGATCAAGGTAATTATTGCACATAATAACGATAGTAGTAGTAATATTGTACATGTTGGTGATGATTTTGGTCTTGGAATGTTAGAGATGTATGGGTTCCATATTAGCAGTTACCATTAGCCAGAAATAGCAGCTCTAAAAATAGCAGTTCAGAAAGTTTAAAATACATTTTATTCGACCCAAAGTCACCTTAAAAAGAAAAATCAGAAATAAGATATTTAAAACAAACAACACGTAAGAGCACAGCTGTACCGTACATAACAGCTAAATTCAGTTAAAATCTCTAAAGTGAATATTTCTTCTTGAACAGATGTGTTTTGAGCTGTGTCCTAAATAGAGTATACGACTCAGTGTTCCTAACAATTGTCTATTTGCATAAATTCAGAAATAAAATAATTCCCATGCAGCTTCAACATCAGGTATTAGTCCAAGTCTATTCAAGTTAACCAATTGTAAATCCCTCCTAAATGGATCACTATTAAATGCTTTCACGTTAAATATCCAAATACGTTTAGGACGAATATGAGGTATAGTGATTTTCCATACACAATCAATTACAGGTCAACAATCAGAAAGGACACCAGACTCTATTGTTCTAGTTGGGTGTAACCAATATCCAGTCAAGTTTTAACTAACCTGCCCGATTCTTGTTGGATCTTTGATAAGTTGAGTAAAATTTGATAAAAGCAAATTTCGTTCTTGTAATGTAGATTAATTCATTCATTTATTTATTTAGGACAGTGCATGTTAATGAATGTAGGTTATAGCCTAAGGCTAGTCTGTTGTAGCTGGATCAGTCCAGTTTAAATTAAAATCCCCCATTAAAACAATTTCCCCTTGGTCACCCTGAGATGAAACAGTGGCTATAATGTTCTTAACAGAATTCAATTTTGGAGATAGAGGTGGCCGATATATGTTGCAAGTTATCAAATGCTTATTTTCATGCACAATAACTAACAAAAAAAAACCTTCAAAATGTATTGGTTTCACTTCAGGAACAATACTTTGTAATTTAAGATTAGAGGAGACATAAGTAGCAACCCCACCGCACCTGGATCCTTTGTCTGCCCTACAAACAACAAAATTTTCAAGGTTAAATTAAAAGTCGGTGACAATTTTATTAGCCATGTTTCCGATGAAGTTATTATGGGATTGTTATAAACAAGCCATGCTCTCAATTGAATCAGAAGGGAACTCCCTGCCCGGCAGCAACGGGGATTCAATCTTTCCCTGGTTTTACAAAGAGCTGATGTTAAGATTGTTTGACTCATAGGTTATCTACCTGCAGAAGGTACGTACCATTTACTAATGCTTTGTATATCAAAGGTGAGCGATGATGTCACACCCAACACTGATTAATTGCCCAAGCTGCAGAGTGCACAACACAGTCTGAGACACAGTAACTCTAGTGCTAAACAGAGTAGCCATCCAGGTACATACCACAGTTGGAGCAGAGCCGATCACCCGAAAAACGCAGCCTGAGGACACGGGCTGGTAACACGTAGCGGTATACTAAGACCAGCTGTTTCCTGAAATTACTTCCTCGCCGGAGGAGCTCCCCTTTTATAGCAGGAGCGCCCTCCTACGTACGAAGGGCGTACTGTTCTAGACCAATAAAATTGGAGCAGTTATTTCATACTGCTACATTCCACCCCCCCACCCCCACCCCCCACCCCCCACAGGAATCGTTGTCCCAACGATTAACAAAACTGAAGGGCTCTAATCACTCCAAGGTCTAAAAACTTGTGCCGCAATGCTCAACCCTGGGGGCGCCACAACCCGTACCCCAACATCACCCACCGCCCGTGGAAGATGGTGCACGTTTGAGTGCTGGCCTGCGGTTGAGCGCTGTGTCCGACGTAGATGCACAATGGGGGCAACCGCCTGCACCACTAGGTCGCCAGCCGGTGCAAACGGTGACCCTCCCACACTAGGTTGCTGCTCTACTGTAGGACCAGATTCCTGCTGGTCCTGTTGTACTCTGGGCAGTGATGGCTCAGGGGGTCCTGCGGCACCAACAACCCTCTTAGGACTCAACTGATGGACGTCAGTCCTTTCTAACACCAGGTCGTCGTCCTCCAGAGATTCCTCCGTTCTTTGCTCCTGCACCGTTTAGGAAGGATAGCCCACTGCTACTGGTGATCTGGTCCATACCACTGGTTTCAACATTGAGCGATGAACAGTTTTACACTTTTGATCATCGTCCACAGGTGCGACCGTATACACCGGGCCTTCCCCTCTAGGAGCCCTCACCACCTTATACACTACTGAAACCCATACGTCCTGGATTTTAGGACGCCCCTTGGAGCCCAGCTGCCTGACCAAGACAAACTGACCTTCCATTAGTCTGACTTCCCTTACCTGTTGGTCATGACTTCTCTTTCTACGTTCAGCAGCTTCCCTTAGGCGTTCGTTAGCTCCCTCAAAGGCTACCTTAAGCCTTCTCTGATGCTCCTGAATCCACTGGTGTACACTGCCCCCTACAGGTTCCTCCACTTTTCCCAGCGGAAAATCCACTGGGAGTCTAGGTTCTTGTCCAAACATCAAGAAAAACTGGAGACTCTCCTGTCGCCTGATGAGGTGTTGCGTTGTAACAATACAGTAACTGCGGCAGACAAGAATTCCAGTCTCGTTTCCTAGAAACAGGTAACGTCTGCAGCAGACGGTGTAGTGTCCTGTTAAATCTCTCGCACTGCCCATTACCTGCAGGGTGGTATGGGGTAGTGCGCGTTTTCTCAATGTCATATAGGCCACACAACTGACGGATGATGGTGCTCTCAAAGTTCCGCCCCTGATCAGAGTGGATGCGGGCGGGCACTCCGAACTTTGAGAACCACTCCGTGACTAACACCTGAGCCACAGTAGATGCGTGCTGATTGCTGGTGGGAACCGCTAAAGTGTATTTACTAAATACATCCGTTAGCACTAGAACATTTTCCCACCCACCGCAGGAATGTTCTAACACAGTGTAGTCCATGGCCAAGATCTCATTTGGTCGGGAGGCCAACAAGTGACCCATGAAACTACCTGTAGCTGCGGATCATAAAATTAGAATATAATGGAAAAAGTAGAATTATTTCAGTGAATCCATTAGAAAAAGTTAAACTTGTATATTAGATGCGTCCATTGAACACAGACTGATATATTTCAAATGATTATTTCTTTAATTTTGATGACTAAAACAAACAACCAATGAAAATTCCAAATTCAGTGTCTGAAAATATTAGAATAAGACCAATGCACAAAAAGAGATTTTAGAAAATTTTGGGCAACTGAAAAGTATGGACATGAAAAGTATGAGGATGTGGAGCTCTGAATATTTAGTTAGGGGTGTGGTACAGTTTGGCAGAGCTGTTGTAGGAGCCATATGTGTCATTTCTTTTTGTGCACTTGAGAGGAGGCTTGGCCTCATGTTATTGGTTAATTGCTTGTGGAAGCACCAGCCTACTTAAGCCAACACAGATTGGACTCAGGTGTGGCTGGATGGGACAAACAGTTTTTTACTGTGTGGCGAGGACTGTGGCTGGATGTAAAGGACTCTGCGGACTGTCATTGGGGCAAGTAACGCATTCACTGCAAACCAATTTAACGGCTGTAAATGGATCCTGGACATTCTGGAACAAGACAAGTAATAAACATCATCAGAAATAAACTCAAGCTGCATTTCTTAATGCACACGTAAAGACCACCCGCAACAGCTACCAGGTAGTGCCAGTGTATAGGGCACTGGCGCTTTATTTCAAGGTAAAAAACTGTCCCGTCGGCGAAGGAAGGTTGGCGTCCTCTGCAATCAAGGCAGCAGAGAAGTAATTGGATCAGCTGTTTCCTGATCGCTGGAGGAACAGCGCGCGTCTGGAAGAAGCACGGAGTGTGGAGCGGTCATTGGGACAGAAGGCGTTTCTGCGTGGGATCTGGCTGTCCTTCCCTCATCGTGGAACGAGCAGCACATCAGCAGACAGCGGCGGGCGTTCTGCCACGTGGGCAGACGTTTCAGCGTTGGATCCGCTGAGTTGTGGATGTAATGTACTACTCTCTGAATGATTTTTTTCAGGGATCCCAATGAGGAATGTATTACTGTAGTCTATTCTGGCTTGAGGCCCAGAAAGAGGTGGCTTATGGGCCTAATGTAGCTAAGATCTAGGGTAGAGGACTGCCACCAGGAGTACAAAACTGACATCTTTGATGTAAAGACTACAAGGGTCCTTTAGATACTCGAGTTGGTAAATTAGCTCTTCATGTCTTGTGCAGACTCATGTGTCTGTTTAAACTTTTCTTCTGGCAAAATCTGTGTCCACAAAGCCCACAAGCAAAAGGTTTCTTTCCTGTGTGGACTGTCATGTGTGTATTTAAAGTTTTCTTCTGACTAAATCGCTGTCCACAAAGCTCACAAGCAAAAGGCTTCTGTCCTGTGTGGACTCTCGTGTGACTGTTCAAGTACGACCTTTTGTAAAACCTTTTTCCACAGTGCCCGCAAGCAAAAGGTTTATGTCCTGTGTGAACTTTTACATGACTGGTTAAATATGGCCTCCTGCTAAATCTTTTTCCGCAGTGCCCACAAGCAAAAGGTTTATGTTCTGTGTGGACGTTCATGTGACGAGTTAAATATGTCTTGTCACTAAATCGTTGTCCACAAAGCTCACAAACAAAAGGTTTCTGTCCTGAGTGAGCTCTCAGGTGTTTGTTTAAACTTGGCTTTTTAGTAAATCTTTGTCCACAAAGTTCACAAACAAAAGGTTTTTGTTCTGTGTGGAAAATCTCATGACTCTCTAAATGTGATTTTGAAACAAATCGTTTTCTACAGTAATGACAACTATATGATTTCAGTTTCCTGCGTGAGTCTACGAGTTGCTTCACACCATCAAATTTCTTATTAACCAAACCATCTGAAGAACTTATTTCTGAATGACCCATCACCCTCAAATGTATCTGGAGAGACCACTTTTGGACAAATTGTTTACCACATTCTGGGCAGCTAAATATTGAGTCATTGTCTCTTTCTCCAGTTTCGGGCCAGAAGTCTGACAGATCAGAGTCAGATGTCTGTTCATGAGGGTTTAGATCTGAGTTCCTGCTAGTTTCTCCTTCTCCACCTGTTCCTGCTGTCATCTGGTCAGCTGAGCTGCTGGTTGGAACATCTGTCTCTTCTATTTGTTGCTGATGAAGCTGTGATAACACAGGTTTCTCTGCACCATCCTCACTCTTTATAGAAACTGCAGTGAATGGAAACCTGACGGCATCAGTCTCCTGTTCCAATTGGAGCTGCTCTCTCTCCAGACTGGTCCAGAGTTCCTTCAGTTCCTCCTTTATGTGGAGGTGCTCTGGGTTCTGCTGGTCCACATCAGCATTCTGTTCTTCAGGATCTTCTTCTACCAGTGCCATCTTTAGGACAGCTGTAGAAAACAGAAACATGTGATGTGAATGACTGTAACCTTCTATTCACACATATAACAACAGTTGTATAATTGCTTCAAGTTGGTGAAATCTGAACTGACTCAAAAAACATGGAATAACCTCCACAAATGTAACACTAGACACATGCTCCTTCTACTTAAGGTAAAGTGGCAGGTTTTTATTAGGGATGCTCCATATTGGCTTTTAAAAAAAAAACAGATATTTGCTATTGTCGAACGTTTAATTTCCAATATCAATATAAACCAATACCAAACTCCCCTAATGGAAAAAAGGGTTTCTTATATCACATCTTCTCTCATGAATGCTTAAGCTTTAAAAATCATTTGTGCAAAATGACAACCATTTCCATCTTCGTTAGTAATAGAAAAATTGTCATGTTGAAATTTGTCTCCAACAGCAGCAGCGGAATGACATTCTCCTTGAGATAATCATGACCAATGCTCTGTCATGCCTTCTGGCCAAAGATTATTCTTAATTTCATGATGGGAACAAGTTCAAAATGTGAATGAGTGAGCCCTCTTAACTCAGACCGATCACAGAAGTCTTTCCGTTTCCTCCGCTGCCGATGTTTTTGCATCTCACATTTAGACAAAACAGGAGGTCAAATTGTAGTAGCAGCAAGGACCAAGTGTTACTTTGCACGTGTTGCAGCTCCACGTTTCCATTAAAATAATTTTTTGATCACAAATTCAGAAGTTTGTAAGGTATTAAAATCATAATCATTAAATGGCTGCTTTTGCTGCTCGTCATGTTGGATTTCTGATTACTAAATACGTGCGTCAAATTGGTCTAAAATGATCACGAGAGCCACTTCCCTTTCTCATTACCCTGAAAACAACTAGTCCAGAATTAAAACAACGATCGTAATAAAACAGCATTACTAAAAGGAGAAACAATTTACTTTTAAAACCAGTATGAGTGCAATATTTTATGAAGCAATTAAGTTCCCACAAGAGGGTGGAGCGAGATTAAACTAAAACGGAGTTCACCTGACGGCCTATTTTGGCCCTGTTGTCTCTGTGATTTAGGTCTTTTGGCTGAAAACTGAAAATGCACTTATGTCATTTTCATTTTCGCCCAAAGGAACAATAATAAACCATTTAATGTATGCAGATGAGTTGGTGATCTTCTGTCCATACAGTGCAGGCTTTCAGCAGCTATTGAAGGTTTGCTCAGTATGGGTCAGAGTTTGACATCAACTTTAATGCCCGAAAGAGCAATCTTTTAATTGTGAGAAGTAAGGATGACAGTAAGCTGGTATTTCCAGACTTCTTTGTATCAGGTTTTGAAGAACCCAACGTGATTAAATATCTGGGACACCACATTTCAGCTGATCTGACAGATGATGTGGACATCTCCAGACGGTGCCGCCTACTGCATGTGCAGGCTGATGCATGTAACGTCCAAAAGGGTCAATTTTCACCTGGGTGTCTGTTGTCTTATTTGTTGGGATGGACATTTTGGATTTATTTTATGTTTATGTGGGCTTTACCTCAAAAGGATCTTGAAATGTCATCTCTACACAGATCTTACTTCACAAACCAGGGATGGGGAGACGAGACGAGACGAGACGGGACGGGACCGGACGAGACGGACCGGACGAAACGGACCGGACCGACCGACCGACGGACGGACGGACGGACGGACAGATAGCACCTAAACTCGAGTGTGCTAGTGGTCCACAGTGGTGCTATTGTCGAGAGTCAAGAGTCTGATAGCATGTTGGTTTGTGCATCTGGATTTTGCTCTGTGTAAAGAGGTTTCATCAAACCTGTCTGGGAATCAAAAGGGTACCTAAACAGTGGATTTGTCCCACCTGTAGAAAAAAATCAAATCACAAAAGAACAGCTAGTCCAACAGTTGATGGACAACTTCAATGTTCCTGAATCTGTACAAATACCACATTTCTTTAACAGTTTATTTTTCAGTCTTCTGTATTGAAAAATTTATGTAGTGTTTACACTGATCTTAAATGCAAATCAAATTGTAAGCACACTACTTGTAGCCTACTGGATGGGTACAACTGATTCACATACATTTGTGAGAGCACAACACACCTTCACAGTTTTATCTAGATGCATCACATCACTTTCTTTGTCAATGTCAGTAAATGTGATGGGTACGGAGCTTTGCAATAAAATGTATTTCTGACGAACAACTCCCATGACCCTTTCAATGTGTATCCTGAGTGATGCTAAGCATTGGGTGCTTTCAAGGTCTTTCAAGGTCTAACTGTCTTTTACCGCGGGTAAAAGCTGGAATCTTTGTCAGCTTGGAAAGATTGTACAGACTGTCTCACGTTAAAGCCCCTGTCTGCCAAAACTAGATCTCCTGGAAGTAAGTGTGATCAAATTTACTATTTTCTGTGATGAACTTGTCACTTGTGCGGCCTCCCCACCCACTAGAAATAAAATAAATAGATCCCTGTGGGCTAATGGCAATCAAATACTTCATAGTGTGATGTGGTTTGTATGTAGAATAACACTGGGCACGGGCTAAAAGATTACTTGGCTTTTTAATGATTATTTCAAAGCAGTCAATAATACAGACAGTTTTCTCAAAGTGTTTGTTACAAAATGCATGTGGTAGAGTTTGTCTTAAAATATCTCTTTCAGGCCAGACGATAAGACTTGGAACTAATCTACAGTACATCACACCAATACAGTGCTTGAAAAGTTTTGAAACTGTGGTGGAATCAACTCCAAAATAAAAAGCCAAAAACTCAAAGCTTAAATTCATTAATGGTCAACACAAGTTGCTGAAATAATGTTAAGGAAGATTTCATTTTAAGAAGTGTGAAAACAACATTGAAAAGAGCCATCAGAATTGAAAATGTGGGAAATCCAGTCAACATTAGAACTTTATCACTGTTTTGCAGAGCAGATTCATTTAGTTCAGTTTTAGACATGCTCTCTTTTAGTAGCTGATTTTCAGCCCTTAAGGCTTGAGATGCGCCGAGCTGTGGGGAGGGGAGAACCAGGTGGAAAACATCGGTCTCCCGAGAGCTCCACAAGTCGATAGTTGGAACCCAGCTCCACCAACATGTTATATTTCAACCCATTTTCTAAAGTGCAGCATTATGTTAAATGCACTGGGTTTACCCTATTACATTTAAATTTCATGGTTAAACAGTACATGTTAAAATCTAAGCTCAGCTCGGCAGTGACCTAAAATACATAAATATAATTTTACTTACCGAACAAAAATGAAGTGGAGACTCCTTGGACGCTCTATTAGTGCAATTAATACCACAGCAAGTCATTTTGTCCAACAATTGCACAAAAAATATCCAAAAAAGAATACACAAACACAGAGACTCAAAATCCCGGAACAGTTTCCAGGCCAGACCGAGGCTCTACTGAGGCCTTTCCAGAAGCTAGCTCTGTGGTCACGTGGGTCTGATGCTCATTAATTATACAGAATTTTAGACTTTTAATACACTTAAACAGAAGAGTGAGAAAAAAATTCACCCCCCTCAGAGTTGTCATGAGTGTAAACTAGATCATTTAAACCAAAAACATGTTTTGGTACCAGGTAGGGCTGGGCGATATGACGATTTTAGACCGTTTTACGATCTACACATCTGACGGTCTGTCATTTTTGAGAGACCGTTTTATCACAATTCACAGCTCTGCTGTTGAATTTCTGCCTCTGAATGAAAATGGAACTTACCCCAGGCGAATGACACGCCTTTGTTTGACCCTTAACCAATCAGAGTGAGTCATAGTAATATATTAGTGCCCCGCTTGTTTTCACCTGTGTGTGAACAAACATGGCTTCGCCGTGGCTGAGCGACAACGAGGTTTTCGTTCCGAAGAGGAACGCAGAGTTTCCTTAGCGCGCGGCGCTAACAACTTAGTGACATGACATGTCTCGGAGAAAGCGTAAAAACACGTTGGACGCTTCTTCTAAAGCAGGAAAATAACGCCGCTTCTTAAGCAGAGCACGACGCCGCCTCGACTCGTTCACCCTCTGCCGAGCCGGACTGAGCTCGGTCACTGGGTCGTTGGAGCTGCCCCGTGACTGCCTGATGGAAAACCAGCGGGTTTCATCAGACTCGTAGTTTCTTGTTTTTGCTGGGACCCCCTGTATTTTACCGCTCCCTCCTGCAGTCTTCCCCTATTAACATTTAAAATGATTCTGTAAATCCGTATATCAATAGAAACAATCTCTGCCTCTGCCAGCTGCAGTAAATGTAGTCTCCAAATAATAAGAGGTGCATTCATCTGTGTATCTCCTTTGATCCGCATTAGTGATATTTTCAGCACCAGAACAGGGAAGCAAAGAAAGATTCCTGAGTTTGTTAGTAATTTTGTTTATTAGGTGCATCTAACTTGTTCTATTTTTCTCTGAAATGAGATCAAAGCAGTGCTTCTATGGGTTGTCTCCAATCTCCACTGGAAATTTTTACTTTATTTAGAGACTTGTTGCAGAAAATATTCAGAATGTGCAGTTTTTTGCTACCACAAGCGATCTCTGGTCCAGCCGCACATCAGAGCCGTATTTGAGCTTAACTATCCACTACATGAGCAACTGGGAGCTACATAGTATTTTGAACAAGTTAATGTTTGCACAATACGTTTGCAATTGACATGTTTGCACTTTAAATATGTTTACGATTCTAATTTATGTTAAGTTACTTGAAAAACGAGAAAAACTGATTTTTGTAATTGTTTCTCTCAGGGCTTTTATCATCTCTGGTGTGAGTTTAAAATATAAGTGTGTTAGCACTGTGTTGATTATCCCTAATATGAATAAATATTTGTTTATTCAATGTTTCTCTCCTTTAATACGCAATTGAAGTTATGCTATCCATGGATAAAAAATTGTGATAAAATCGAAATCGTGATAAAATATTGGAAAAATCGTGATATTCTATTTTTGCCATATCGCCCAGCCCTAGTACCAGGCTGTAAACATGTTTATTTCTGCTGTGAAAGTTGTATTTTTAACATGGGAGTCAATGAGGATTTGCTCGCTTCTGACACCAGCCCCCAGTGGATGAGGGTGGAACTGCAATTTTTGTCACTTCCGCGTTGGCCTCAATTTTTCACCCGCATTGGGGGGGCTTGGCGCTAACCAGTCAGCCAAAGGGCGATCCCTTAAGCTAAACTGGATAAAAGCTTTTTTAATACAACCACATTCTATATGGTTCCACATACCAAAATATATTTTCCAAAAGGTTGGAGGATTAGAATTCCTGTTAAAATGTGACTTTGAAATATCTAAATTACCAATCAAACTATCTGACTTCCATAAACAAATTCTGCTCTACTGGAAAATGATATTCAGCCACAACTTTACACCGCATAGCTCCACCTTGTGGAATAATAGAGCCATGGTAATTAATAGGAAGATTATATTCAAAAAAGAATGATATGACAAAAAGATTTTATGTGTGACAGATTTGATGGATAAAAATGGCAATTTGTTACAATTTGAATGTTTTGTCAAAAAATTTAATTTTAAATGCTCCGTTAGAGAGTTTAATCAAATCAGTAGAGCTGTTCCACTTCCCTTAAAATTCATGATTAAAAATACCTTGCTTAATTCAAATGTGGTGATTAAACTTCCTGAGTTGAAAATTGGCAAATTTAAATTAGGTGAACAAAAATGTAATAACAAAGTACTTGGAAGTATGTTAAAAAATAGTTATTCTATGATATTGACAAATCAACGAAAATAAAAATCACAGGAAAGGAAACTACATTAACAAAGCCATATTGCAGCTTTCTTAAATGGCCAATTGCACCCAAGTTGAAAGAAATTAAATTCTAAATAATACATAATATCTATCCTGCTGCCGAAACATTAAGAAAAAGATTTAATTTTGAAGTGAATCAGTGTGTCTTTTGTATGACAGAATGTGAAACTATTGGGCACCTTTTCTTCTCGTGTTCAGTAACAATTGGTTTTTGGGAGGATGTTTATCGATTATTAAATATTGAGAGAAATGATGTATGGCTTAACAAATCTAAAGTGTTGATCTACATGGATGCTCTTCCAAAAAAGATATCCAAAATGGTGAACATTATTTTCATCATGGGAAAATACCATATACATAAAACTAAATGGAACAACAGCAAGCCTAACATTAACCATTTTAAAAATGAAATAAAACAATTTATAACATCTCTAAAAGTAGTATCAGAAAATAAGCAATCTATAACTGAGTTGTACGAAACAATGTCTGAGTTTCTTGTTCTTTAAATTACAGTCCAATGAATCAAACATGTTTGAAACATAATGCTGAAATATCAACCTCTGAACATTTTTTGATGATGATATTTTGTTTTTATTTTATTATTATTTTGCATCATAATTTATTTTATGGTATAGTGTCATGAGGTAATTGTTGCAAGTTCTAAATATAATTTTTATTTTCCTCAAGTGAGGTCATTTGTATTTGCTTTATTCTTCAGTACGTTGAATGTAGGTTACATTGTAAACTGAAAATATGTGAAAACGAAATATAACGTTTAAAAAAGGGGCGTGTTTTGTAGGGGCGTGTTTTAGCATTAACACGTCTCACAGTCCTGACGTCATCAACCCCCGCCACCAAAGAACATCAGCTGAGGCAAGATAACTAAGTCAATAGAATAAACCACACGTGCCATCCTTCAATCCAATCTCATTATTCATAACCCTAAAACCACACACACTAGTAGTTGTGTACCTGTATCCATGTTGTCCAGATCCAGATGATGACTCAGTGCCAGAACCTGAAGTGGTAGCAGGTCTGCTTTAGCCGTGTTTAGCTAACAGCTGCAATAGAAACAAAGCAGCTGATGAAGTTCTGAGGCTTTTCCGTCGGAGAGTGTGAGCAGGATGGATCAGAGAGCGAGCAGCGATCCTGACCTGCATCATGACCAACTCAGATGGCCGAGTCTGATAGAGGCAAACTCTTCAATCTGATGAAAGCAGCAACACGAGCGCGTTTCTCAGATGCCAAAGGAACAGCAGCAGATGAGGGGGCAGCAAGATGGCGGACTGACCTTACGCATCCGTCTGAGCTCCTCTTAAAGTCCCGACGCTATGAATTGAACTGATAAAATTCCAATCTTGAAAGTCACTTGGATAAAATCTCAGCACAAAACATGAAGAAAACAAGGACACAAACCCCCAGACAGCGAGGAACCTCCAGCTGGATACGGCTAATTCCTGCAGCAACAAGATGGACAGATAGGTGACAACTGCTGGAAACACCCCTGAAAACCCACACATGGAGAAAAAAACCAAAGGCATGCCTGATGATAACGACGATAACACGTCAACTGACATTATGGCTATTGACTCTCTCGAATAGGTACAGAAAACACTTGTGCAACCTGCACAAGGAACATTACAAACAGGCCAGAGGGTCTTAAAGCATATTGCGATGTGTAAAAAAAGAGGACAAGAATAAAATTAAACTCATTATACCATGCTCAGATCCTTCAGAAGTTGAAATGTTCTTATAGCCTTTGTGCTCTTCACATGTTCAATTGTTTCATAACACAGTTTCCAGTCCACAAATAAATATTTTAAAGCAAGGATGTGAATTAGACCATTTGCATTTGTAGATATGAAATTTTCCAAGGATGACAAACAGTTAATTACCGGTAACATACATTACATTTTTGGACAAACTATGAAAATCACAATATAACATTACACCAAAAATTCTTATACTGGTGTTGACTTTCAATTTTGTGACAATAAATTCTTCCAGTTCAGACCAAAATCTTTTTGTGTATAAACAGTGATAAAATAAATGAAATATTGTTCCTCTACTTGATTGGCAGAATGTTCACGACTCTTCCATATTTATTTTGAATCTTTAAAGTATATCTTTTACAGGGTAAATGTGGTGCAAGATTTTAAATGAAACTTCTTTAATTGTATTATTAATGCAGTATTTAAGTATTGTAGTATTGGCCTTCTTCCAATTTAGGTAACCCATGGTTGAATACCAAAAAAACTTTGCAGCAGTTGGGACCGAACAAGAAATTTGGTTTCTAACACATTTATTAGTACATCTTTCCCTTGTAATCTCTACAGCTCCAACAAAAATTCTATTAGTTTCAGCATTATGTTCAAATGTCACGCCTTTTAGGATCTGTAGTGACCCTGCAGGGATTGCATCAAATACCACTGCGTATTCCTTCGGCGTCACTGGGAAATTGAAGAACTGCAGAAATTCTGAATATGACATTAGAAAACCATTTTTATTCAGTAACTGACCTACTAACAGGATTCCTCTGTCAAACCATGTCCGATAAAACAAGGATTTCTTTTTAAAGAGGATATCTTTGTTGTTCCAGATAAAATACCTATGTGGGCTAAAATTATGTTTATACATCAAGATCCAGGATAACAGGGCTTGTTTATGGAACTCAGCTAATTTCAAGGGAATTTTATCAATCGAAAAATTTCATTTCAGCAAAAAGTTTATGCCACCGAGGGTATTAAATACAAATGCTGGAAAAGCGTTCCAGTTAATGTTAGGATTTCTTAAGAATTCGATGAGCCATTTGATTTTAAACGTGTTATTTACAATATTAAAATCTAGTACATTCAGACCACCTTGCTCTCTATGTCCCGTGATAACATCTTTTTTAAGATAATGAGGTTTTTTCCTCCAGTTGTATAATATTTTATCTATTTTTTTAATTGTAGTTTTTTTATGTCTACTGACAAGGTAACCTATACAGAGCGTGATATGCCTTCTGCCTTTGATATTACAACTCTGCCAAATAAAGACAAGTCTCTCATGAACCATGAATTAAGTTTATATTGTGTGTTTTTTAACAATTGGATCAAAGTTTAACTTGTGACATTCCTCCTTATTTTTACATATTATAACTCCAAGATAAGTTACTGTCTTATTAACCTGTATACCATCAAAGCTGGTCAAATTGCAGTCCTTTAATGGAAACAAGACTGATTTATTAATATTTTCAGTCCTGATACTTCACTAAATTTATTAATGTAGTTTATTGCCGTTTCAATTAGATTTTTATCCCTTAAAAAATGGCTGTATCATCTGCAAGTTGGCAGATTTTAAACTTTTTCCCGACAGCATTTATTCCTGAAAAAGGTGCCATTTTTATGAGTGTAGCCATTGTCTGAGAAACTAAGAGAAATAAGAATGGAGACACTGGGCATCCTTGTCTGATACCACGAGATACATTAAATCTTTCAGATGTGCCTGTAACAAAACTAGAACACCCGTTATATAACGTTTGAATTGCATTATGAAAGTAAGTACCGAAGCCAAAGAAGGAAATGGATTCTAGTATAAAGTTATGCTGTATAGTGTCAAAAGCTTTATTAAAATCAATGAATAGTATGAAACTATCATTTGGAATGAGTTCGCTGTAATCTATCATGTCTAATATTAACCGTATATTATTGCTCATATGTCTGTTGTGCATAAATCCAGATTGCTCTTCATCTCTAATTTGGTTCAATCCATGTTTAAGTCTTTTGGCAAATATCAAAGCTAATAATTTGACGTCATTATTCAGTAAACTTGTTGGTCTCCAATTTTCAATGTACAAGTTATCCTTATTTGGTTTGGGAAGTAAGGTAATCATACCCCGTTTCATAGTCGGAGGAAGTTCACCTTTCTCAATGGCTTCTTCAAACACAGCTAGCAAAAAGGGAGAGAGTTTTTCATTGAACTCTTTTTAAAATTCTCCTGTTAAGCCATCATTTCCAGGCACTTTATTTTCCTTTAATAGTTTAATACATTCCACAAGTTCAGGTAAGGAAATCCCTTTTTCTCAGACGTCTCTAAATTCTTCATTAATTTTCTTAGCATTTGTGGAAATGTTTTCCAAAAAGGTCTCTATACCAGAACCTGTGGAGGCTGATGAATATAAATCCTGATAAAAGCAGCAGCATATTGTAATAAAAGTAGCCGTGGGCAGCACGGGCAGAATATCTTGCCCTCCAGTCAGAACCTGAACACACCACCAGTAGGCAACGACTTATAAAAGACACTTTATTGCACAACCAATAATAAAACACAACGATAAAACACCATGGCCCAAGCCCTCTCTTCTAAAACCAACTGTCCAGCATGAGTCACATAAGCAGCGGTACTTAGCTGTCACGGATGGTGTGACCCCCGTCCCCGGGGTCTGAGCTTCCAACGCCGTCCAACGCCCCGGGGTGTAGCTTGCGAGGACGGCGGGTAAATCCACAACATAAGTCCACTGCCAGAGTCCGTAGCGGCAGATGTCGGCGCGGCCTTGGCATCACCTATGCCCAGCCCTAACTGTCTAAAGAAGGCGACCAGCCTTCCCTCCTGGCGCTGGAACACTAAACACCTGTTCAGCTATCTTCGTCGCCGGCAGCCCTACCCGGCTGCGAACGACCCCACCCCCCAAAGTCCGATGCCACCACGCCAGGTCGACCACGCGCCCCTCTCAGTAGGTCTGTCACCTTTTTATCCTCCCTGGCCTCGTTATCCATAACGAGGACCAGCTGGTGTCCAATCACCACACCCTCAGAGCCCGGCAGCTTCCGTCTTCTGCCCATCACAATATTTTGAGATTATTTTCTGGTCGCTCGTAATATTTCCATTTACTGACAAATTGCTTATTGAATTATATTCTGCATGTCCCCTCTCTAATCCAAAAAAATACTTTGTATTTTTCTCTCCTTTTTCCCATCCATTTGCATCTGGATCTGACAAAGGCACCTTTAGTTTTTTCTATGTAAATTTCATCTAGTTTACTTGGTAATACAGATTTTCTTTCTCTTTTTCAGTAAGATTACCATAGATGTTATCTGTAAACTTAAAATTTCCTTAATAACTCTTGATTCATTTTCTCTTTTTTCCTTTGCTAAACTCTTCCCCCTTTTTTATAGCCAAAATCTGAATTTCAAACTTTGTTAATTCTCAATTTTGTCCATAGTTACTGTAATTACAAGCTTGTTTCCAAAATTTATCAATGATCATACCAATTTCTAGCTTAAATTCCAAGTGATTAAGTAATGAATTGTTAAATTTCCAGTAACTGGGAAAATACTTCTGAGATAAACTCTCATTCAGGTAAATTTTAATAAGTATAAGTTTATGGTCTGTTAAGATGGCTGGTTCAGGTGGAGCTGAGGGTGGGGCTGTAAGGCTGGGATCAAATGACGACACCCGGTCGAACTAGCTGTAAGCTAACCTGAAGCTAACCCAAAGCTAACGTGGAGGTGGGAGCTAAGCTCATCGATATAATATACGTGGACATCTTCTTTCCATAGGCTCCAATATCACGTTTTTGATCCCAAATGGGAGGTGGCCACCACCGCCATTTTGACCGTGTCACAGGTTCCGTCAAGCCCAGACAATTCCATAAAAGGGAAGAGAGGAGGAGCTGAGGGTGGGGCTGTAAGGCTGGGATCAACTGACGACACCCGGTCGAACTAGCTACAAGCTAATCTGAAGCTTTATCAAAACCAGACTGAGAAGTTGCCTGTCTGCCAGCAAGCTGGAAGCATTTATGTTGATGGCCACTGAAAAGGATGTCCTTGTGAACCTTGAAATTGACACAGTGATTGACAGAGTTGCAGACAAGAGTGAATTACTGAAGAAACTACTTTTGTAAGGGGAGATTTATGAACAATATAATTGTGTTAAAGTAGTGAATTACATTTTGTGACATAAAAGAATGAAATTTTTGCTTTGTTTTGTCTTCTCTCACTAGGTTCGCTTGCTGCTTTCAGTTGTAAAGTTCATACTTGTTCAGTTTCTTTGTCTTGCTACATATTTGAGGATTATCGGGGGCCATTCAACAGTTCTCAACCACTATGCACCTTTTATTAGACTTAAGTCAAAAATATCTTTTTGGTTTGTGTATTAATCACTTTTTTAATCAACCTGACTCTTCTTCTTTAAGGCTACCCTGTCCACTGGGCCCCAGGGATGTTCCAAGTGTGTGTCTTTCATTAGTGTGGACTTCACAAGCATTTTTCTACATTTGTGAGTTTACTACACTGAACACGCTGTTTTGTGTTGTTAACATTCAACTGGACAGTTCTTAAGTCCACTGCCTTTACTGTGTGACTGAAATAGATGCAGCCAGCCAGGGCTGGCCAGAGGTCTTTAGCTGAACTAAATCTGGGACCCGGTTAGGAACATCAGAACTTCTAACAGCATCTCAATGCAGATCTTTTGGAATATGGGAGAGGGGGACAAAAGTTAAAAAGCACAGATAATTGGTGATTGAGACTGAGATGTATTTCTGAACACCCTGAGCTCAATCACCAAAACTGTTAGATTAGCCATCAAACTATGAAGATTATATTTTTTATAAAGTAAGCTTAAATGAACGTATATATTTTTTCTTCATTTATTAACATTGAAACAGTCAAATGAAGTTTCACATGATTCTTATTAAACTAGTTTAAAATTGCACATCTTTTCTCTTGTTACAGTTCAAGAATTTACGGGACCTCGGATGGTTTGGGGGCCCTGTGGAGCGGCTTTATGTTCGTCTATTCTTCAGAGTGGCTCTGAATGCAACCAACCATTCTTTCAGTTTGACACATTAGGGCACATCTGGAGTGAAGTTTTGAACTTTCCAGATGTGGAGTTGACATGCATTTCCTCTTTTCTGTTGTGAGTACACTGAATACTGCTTATTTCCATTCTAGAAGAGACTGTATCAGAATCATTTAGAATGCTAACGTAAAACTCTGCTTTCTTCTCGAAGGACCATGCAGCCATTTGTCTCAGTACAAAATAAGCTATTATCTCTCTTTTCACCTATACATTATTTAAACTACACTAACTGATCTTTCTTTTCTGACTGCCAGTCCTGGTATCTATCTTTTTTCTCAGTTACTTTGATGAATAGCTCTTAATTTCACATGGATATGTGCTCTTTTACTGAAGACACAATAATGTTTATATTTGATAAAAAATTTAAGACTTTTTAAGACCATTTTTAAGGCCACTTTGACCAAATTTAAGCAATTTTTTAAAATTAAATTTAAGCTATAATTTCCAGCTATTGCCTGGAAACGGTGCAAACCACGTCGTGAGCATGGGATTAACCATCCAGTTACCATTAAACTTGCGCTTCCCCATGGCGCAAGCTCCCACTAGCTTAACCAGCTAATGTGCTCATCTAAAAACAGCCCCCTTTCACAACCAACTGAATGTGTACAGTTCCGCTTACGCCAACATCATACACAAAAAATGCTGAACACTAACTAGAAATTCACGAAAATTTTTATAGAAATAAAATAATCTTGTTTATTGGGTCTTTGGTAATTTAAGGCCTTTGGAAACTGGATTTAAGGATTATTTGTCATTTTTAAGGATTTTCAAGGCCTTACATTTGGAAAAGCAAATTTAAGACTTTTTAAGGACCCGCAGATACCCTGTAGCAGTTTCTTTGACTTCCACTTTAACACCAGGATTTGTGGCAAATTTGCCTGTGTTAAAAAGTCTTTTAAACACATTAAAACAATGTAAACACAATATTGAATACACTATCGTGGACCAAATACGTGACTGTAATGGTGGCAGGATACCTCAGAATAGCGCTATGCCCTCTGTTGTCTTGGCAGGGAATTGTTTTGCAACAATCCCCAGCTGATGAAGTCTGAAAGCAAAACGTCTGTCAATGTGTGTGTGCGTCTCTCCCTTGCGGAGCTGACGGAGAGGTATAAATTAGGCTGCAGACCACTCCAGCAAAAGATGGAGATCACGGTCTGAAGAAGCCAACAGGACCACATCATCTGCAAAAAGCAGAGCCCGGATCCTTAGGCCTCCAAAATTCATCCCCTCACACCTTGGCTGTGCCTAGAAATTCTGTCCATCAAAGTTGTGAACAGAATCAGTGACAAAGGGCAGCCCTGGTGGAGTCCTACTCTCGCTGTAAATGAGCCAGCCTTACTGCTGGTAATGCAGACCAAGCTCTGACACTGTCTTGTGTGGCATACAGATCACCGGACACGGTTGACTTTTGTCTCAAGTAAAAATCAGTACTTTCGCTCCTCCACCCATATTTAAAAATAACTGCATTTCAGCAGCACTGATAGAAGTCAAAGGCTGAATGTGGCTCTGATCTAGGGTACAAAACTGACATCTATGATGTAAAGACTACAAGAGACCGTTTTGGGACCCTTGTTGTTAAATTAGTTCTTTGTGTCCTGTGTAGACTCTCATGTGTCTGTTTAAATTTGTCTTTTGGCTAAATCTCTGTCCACAAAGTTCACAAGCAAAAGGTTTTTTTCCTGTGTGGACTGTCAAGTGTCTGTTTAAACTTGTCTTCTGACTAAATCTTTGTCCACAAAGTTCACAAGCAAAAGGCTTCTGTCCTGTGTGGACTCTTATGTGTCCATTTAACAGTGATTTTCGGCTAAATCTTTTTCCACAGTGAGAGCAAGCAAAAGGTTTATGTCCTGTGTGGACTCTTATGTGACTGTTTAAATGTGCCCTTTGGCTAAATCTTTGTCCACAATGTCCACAAGCAAAAGGTTTCTGTCCTGTGTGCACTCTCCTGTGAGTGTTTAAAGTTGTTTTTCGGCTAAATCTTTGTCCACAGTGTCCACAAGCAAAAGGTTTCTGTCCTGTGTGGACTCTCAAGTGTCTGTTTAAACTTGTCTTATGACTAAATCGTTGTCCACAGAGCTCACAAGCAAAACGTTTCTGTCCTGTGTGGACATTCATATGACTATTTAAATTTGATTTTGTACCAAATCTTTTCCCACAATCATCACAACTGAATAACTTTAGTTCTGTCTGAGCTTTCCTGCGTGAGTCTACAGGTTGCTTCACTCCATCACATTTATTAACCAAACAGTCCGAAGAACTTATTGCTGAATGACCCATAACTCTCAAATGTGTCTGGAGAGACCACTTTTGAAAAAATTGTTTACCACACTCTGGGCAGCTAAATATTGAGTCATTGTCTCTTCCTCCAGATTCAGGCCAGAAGTCTGACAGATCAGAGTCGGATGTCTGTTCATGAGGGTTTAGATCTGAGTTCCTGCTAGTTTCTCCTTCTCCACCTGTTCCTGCTGTCATCTGGTCATCTGAGCTGCTGGTTGGAACATCTCTGTCTTCTATTTGCTGATGATGAAGCTGTGATAACACAGGTTTCTCTGCATCATCTTCACTCTTTATAGAAACTGCAGTGAATGGAAACCTGACGGCATCAGTCTCCTGTTCCAAATGGAGCTGCTCTCCCTCCAGACTGGTGCAGAGTTCCTCCTCTTCCTCCTTTATGTGGAGGTGCTCTGGGTTCTGCTGGTCCACATCACTCTGTTCTTCAGGATCTTCTTTAACCAGCGCCATCTTTAGGACAGCTGTAGGAAACGCAGAAACACACAATGTAAATTACCAACCTCTGTAACCTTATATTCACACAGTTGTATAATTTTAAGTTGTTGAAATCTGAACTGACTCAGAAAACACGGAATAACTTTTGAATTGAGAAACTTTTTCTTGTGAGGTCAATACAGAGAATTTAAAAAAATTCAGGCTTAATACAACTCATCAGATTTTTCTAACACATTGAAAACTTTAAACATTGTTTTAAAGGTATTTATTTCACACATAATGTCCCAAAAAAATGGAACAAAACTCCTGATTTAGGATGTTCTGTAGGGTTGGGCATTATTTGAATTTGAGCGATTTTGACTCTGATTCCTTGTTTCAAATCTGGTTCGAAGCGATTTTCAATTTCAGCGCTTTTAAAAGGCAGGGTCAAAAAACTCGACACATTTTAAATGGCCTGTATTTGTATAGCTTCATAACACAATTAGTCACACTGACGAAGACAAATCAAGTGTCGAAATGTTAGTTTCTTTTGTACTTGCACTTATTAAACTTTGACTCACCTTAGTGCTCCATCCTTCCTATTTGACAATCAGTGTTGGGCAAGTTACTTCAAAACTGTAATGCATTATTCATTACTTGTTACCCTCATTTTAAAGTAATTCATTACATTACAATATTACTGATTTTAAAATGTAAGGCATTACACTACTTTTGCATTACTTTAAGTTACTTTCACCAAAACAACTTCAATATAAATCTGGTCATGTGACGCTCAGTGAGTTCATGACATATATGTGGAAGGTGATGTGGTGTCTGAGCTAGGATTGCTGTTAAAAACAGTCAGATATAATAACAGTGCTTTAAAATGATTGTTTACTAAATAAAAGCAACAACAATCTTTACTCTCAGCACGCTGCCATCTTATAGGGCCATCTGAGCAGGGAGTGAGGTGATGGGGGCTCCAAGCCTGTATTTGCCTTGGTCCCCAAATGCCTTGATACGGCCCTGGATGTAGGACTGACTTCTGGGGTGATCCGATTCTATCACATGTATACATATTAAATGCTTCTATATTATTGCTTTTCACTGGTAAAAATGTGTGTTGGGGATAAATCTACCTACTTTTTTCTTTTTTTCTTGATTTTATTTGAATAATTTCCGGCCCTTTCTCTCTCTAACCTTCCTGCATGCTGCATGTTTTCTCCGTCTTCCAGAAAAAACTGTTTCCTAGACTTCCTACTTTCTAACGATCAGCCAAAGGGATCTTCACATGCGCGGCGTAATGAGTTGAAATCACCGGGGCACAGATTTTGAACTCAGATGAGGCAAAGCTCGTCAGAAAAGTACAGAATACCAGAGAACATGCGCTGATATGAACGATCGCAAGTGAATTATTTTGTTTTAGTGGAGTGATTTTGTGAATGTTACAGCGGCCGCGTGCAGGACGCAGCTGGAGTATTTGAGCCGTTACCGCGGCGTCCTCTCTGCCCACAAAGCTGAGTCCATAAATGACGTAATATATGCAGATACTGGATCTTTCTTCGGGTTTCCCGCAATTTGAATCTTTAAGGAACACGTCTTGATTCTGGGTTTAAAAATGCATTGTAATTACCGCGTTACTGACAATTGTACAGAGTAAATATTACCATTTTCTTTCCCTGTAATGCCTTACATTACCACATTACAGCAAAAAGCAATGCATTACAGTAATTAATTACTTTTGTACCGCGTTACTCCCAACACTGTTGACAATTAAGTCATACAGTACTGTAAAGTCACTGACACAACAAGTCAGTGACTCGATGTAATCTGCTGGGATTCCTTTCAAAAGACAACTTTTACTAAGTGAACTGAACGTAATTGGAATGCTTACTTAGTTAAGTGCCCTGATACAACACTTGTCATAATTTGGCACTAATTAAAATCTAGAAAGATAGATATCCAGCCTAATTTACCAGCTGGATATCTATCTATCTATTGTGTAAAAAATAACTGACTCAATGTTAATGTGTGTTCATTTAAAATATAAAACTTGTGAAGAAGTTCTGGAGAGTTAAATGATTTTCTGGTTTTAACAACTTTCTCCTAAAAATATTCCCCATCTCGAAAAAGGGTCAGTTCCCTTCGTAAAGTCAGATGAATGTGTAGAAATTAGGGATGCTCCGATCAGGTTTTAATCTGCCGATCACCGATACCGATCAGCCAAGAGGCCGATCATGGCCGATCAGCCGATTACCGATACCAATTACATAGATTGGCTGTAAATTGTTCATTTAGCTATGGTGAGTTCTAATGCATGTGTTACATATTAATTCAGAAAAAACATGGTTTTACTTCCCTTCAAATTATGTAATATCAGTAACAATTTATAAGAAATTGAAAACTTTAAGGCTCTCTTTAGGCTACAAATAGTGCAAAAAAAGTCAATATCTCACATCACCGCCTGAATCAAATTAAGTAACCAAGGATACATTCAGATACATCCAGTGAGCTGTTAAGCTCAGCATTGACACAGGACTGACATCTGAGCTCCAAATGTCACTTGTGAAACTCACAGAGGATGAGACGCTTTCTTTAAGGAGTCCCTCGATGAAAGACTACACTGTCTGGTGGAGCTCTGGCGAAATATTTACGTCCCCGTAGCATGTAGCGAGGTTCCAAGTGGGTTAGTAGTCGGCGGAATCCGGCATCTTCCACAACTGAAAAAGGCTGGTCGTCTAGTCCAATAAACTCGATGATTTTACGGGTAATTTGCTTAGCTTTTTGACTGTCACGCTCATATGGGCGAGTGTTTCCAAGCGTCGGCTGCGTTAGCTGCCGTCTGACTGTGGCTTTATTAGCATTAGCAGGCTTCTTTTCATTGTCTGCGGTGAGCCTCAAAAACTCACCATGCTCCGCCAAGTGTTTAGTCTTTAAATGTCGGATCAAATTCGTTGTGTTGAATTTTTTTGAAGTGCTTCCTCCGCGGGGTATGTTTTCGTTGCAAGTGTTGCAAGACGCAAACTTAATATCACTCTCGCACACCTTAAAGAAGTTCCACACGGCAGACATGTTTGTCTTTGCGGGTTTGCCGCCACGCGCATGCGCACTAAGCAGGGAGAAGTGGAAGGGTGAACTACCGGCCGGGAAGAGTAAGCGCCAGTGCCAGATCGGAAATGAAAGGCAGTGATCGGCAATCACAGATCACACACTTTTGCAGGAAAATCGGCCGATAATTATCTGTGGCCGATCAATCGGAGCACCCCTAGTAGAAATAAATGTAAAAAATGTATGAAGGTGCAAAAAAAGTCATTCAGTACTAGGATGAAACTACAGGAACAGCTGGAGCTAATGGACGTAAGTTAGCAGGATTAGATCCACGGTGTTTATAAAAACCACTCATGGAGGAAACAGGAGGAGAAACCACTGAAGAATAAACATCACTGGAGGCGCTTGGGTCAGAATCAGCATTTAGCTCAGGGCCAGCACACTGTGCATGTAAGCATGGCGGAAGGTAGAACCGCACCGTGTCTTGGGCGATCACGGACGAACGGAAGAATAAAAGAGTCTGGCGATCATAGGAGATGGTAGCCGGGACACTAGGGCTGGGCTATACGGCCTAAAATTCATATCACGATATACTGAGGCTTTCACCTAGATAACGATAAATAACTGCAGGTATGCGCAGAAACAAAAGTTGTCCACTAGATGGGGCTGTCACGTATTATGTTGAGTCACATTATTACCGGACTCAAGGTGGTACAGCTTCTTAAAGGGGCGTGAATGCAGCCAACCTACACACGTTTTCATGTTTTTATTATCAAAGTCATTGACATAGGAAAAATTATCACGATAAGAGTCAGAAATTTCAATAACGATAAATTTCGATTTATTACCCAGCCCTACGGGACACTACTGATTAGGATTGCAGACGGAAGCAAGGTGGAACGGAGGAGGTTGGTAGAGAAAGGTTAGAAAATGTGGTTAGTGACCTTGACTACTCCAAACACAGGCGCCATCTTGCCACCAACCAGGAAGTGGAACTCATCATAGCTTTTATGATCTCCCTGCCTTGATTGTACAATGCTTTGGTCAGCTGCCATGCTATGTTTTAAATGTGCTTTATTAATAAAGGATGGATGGAAAATGATGTCATTTGTTTAGCAGGATGAGCTTCGCTGTTATGAGCTAGCCCCCCCCCCCCCCCCCCTTCCCTTTTTCTGGCTTTTTAAATCAGCTCCAGTGTAAAGTGAACAGCGTTTATCACATGGTATAAATCCACCAATTAGTGTGCTGTGCGTGAGCACCACTTCCAGTGTGAACCTTGAAGGATTACCTGATAGTGAATGTAGTTTCCTGACAAACCACCTCAGCAGACACTGATCATCACACCTCCAGGCTGAACATGCCTTCTCATCACTGTATGGAAGCCATCTCCTCCTGGATCTGGAGAAACAACAATATGAGACGCTACAAAACCCAATAAAACTCGTGTCCCATATAATAACTGTGAAATGATTTAGACTCGTTTGATCACAAGCTGGAAGCTGCTGATGAAAAAGAACATAACTCCCATTAAAACTATAACAAAACGTGGGATTCTACACTTTTTGTAAAAAACTGACACGCTGTAACACAACTGGAAACTTGATTTTGAGTCTTTTGATCAAATAACCTCGAAGATATTGATTTATTAGTGTTTTCGACATTTAGCTAACCATTGCTTTCAGGAGCGAGTCCACGGAGCAGAGCTGACCGCCGTCTCTGCCACAGCTCACGGTATGAAACCCACCTCTGAGCGTGGAGAGTCGCGGGGTGAACATCTGTCTCATATCCATCTTAAACGAGCTTCACCGCGGTGGAAAAACAGCTCTGCTAAACACGGACCTGCTCTAAGAAGTCTACATCCGTTCAAAGTTCAGGCGAGTGTGTGTCTCAACCTCAAAGTGACATTTACGCTGCATTTCGTTACACTAACCTGCGTAAAAACCAGATTATACATTTAAATCCAACCAGAAAACGTAGCTGACCTTTCACCCCGTAACCGAGCTGAAATTAAAGTGGCGCATGCGTAGTGCTGTTGTCTTTTGGGGGCATTACTGCCACCTACCGACCTGGAGTAGACCAGCACCATCAGTGTTGTGGTCAGAAAAAAAGACTGTTTATAAAGCGACAGCACCCTTTTACTTTCAGTCAGATACAACTTTATGCTCAACAATTAACTAAAGAGGAAAATGAGTATAACAGAAACATTATGTGAACTAGGAAAATAGAAAGAAGAAGAAAATATCTTTTCTATAGCACCTCTCAATATAAAAATCACGAGGCGCTTCACAAAAAAAACGTAAAATATAAAAAATAATTTAGAAAATGATTAAAATATATTTAAAATGAGCAAAAAATAGAAAATTGTGATAACAATTTAAAGAAAGAGGATTGAGACACAGGAACAAAGAACACTGTAGCCACTTTATTGGGTACACCTTGTAGTACCAGGCTGGACCCTGTTTTGTCGTCAAAACTGCCTTAATCCTTTGTGGCATAGATTCAACAAGGTGCTGGAAACATTCCTCTGAGATTTTGGTCTATTGACATGATGCCCCCAGACTCTGGACCTCTCTCCCCCTGAGCCTGAGATCAGTGGACTCAGTGGTCTCCTTTAAAAAGCAGCTGAAAACTCACCTGTTCAGGCTGGCTTTTGCGTGACCTTCATCACCACCCTCATTCCACCTTTCCTCATTATCCACTGATTTCCCTCCTTCTATTCATTTTCTCTCTCCCTTTCTTTACTTTATTTTTTTACCACAATTTTTAGTTTTTTCTCCCATTTCAATCATATTTTTAATCTTTTTTATACTTTGTTTGTGAAGTGCCTCGTGATTTTTATGTTGAGAGGCTTTATAGAAAAGATGGTTTTGTTTTCTTTCTTTCTTTCTTTCTTTCTTTCTTTCTTTCTTTCTTTCTTTCTTTCTTTCTTTCTTTCTTTCTTTCTTTCTTTCTTTCTTTCTTTCTTTCTTTCTTTCTTTCTTTCTTTACATGATAGCATCACGCAGTTGCTGCAAATTTTTCGGCTGCACATTCATGATTCAAATCTCCTGGGGCGACGGTGGCACAGGAATTAGGTGCTTGCCCCGTAATCGGAAGGTTGCAGGTTTGAGCCCCGCTCAGTCGGTCGCTGTCGTTGTGTCCTTGGGCAAGACATTTAACCCACGTTGCCTGCTGGTGGTGGTCGGAGGGATCGGTGGCGCCGGTGCTCGGCAGCCTCGCCTCTGTCAGTGCGCCCCAGGGCAGCTCATCTCATCACCATCAGTGTGTGAATGGGTGAATGACTGATGGTGTTGTAAAGCGCCTTAGGGGGATTCCTGGACTCTAGAAGGTGCTATATCAAATATGGGCCATTTACCATTTACCATTTCCACCACATCCCAAAGGTGCTCCATTTGATTGAAATCTGGTGACTGCTGAGGCCATTTGAGGACAGTAAAATTATTGACATGTTCAAGAAACCAGTCTGAAATCATTATAGCTTTATGACATGGTGCATTATCCTGCTGGAAGGAGCCCTCAGAAGATGGTACACTGTGGCCATAAAGTAATGGACATGGTCAGCAATAATATTCAGGTAGGCTGTGGTGTTGCAGTGACGATCAGTTAGTATTAAGGGGTCCAAAGTGTGCCAAGAAAATGTCCCCCACACCATTACACCACCGCCACCAGCCTGAACCATTCATACAAGGCAGGATGGATCCATGCTTTCATGTTGTTGATGCCAAATTCTGACCCTACCATCTGAATGTTGTAGCTGAAATTGAGATTCACCAGACCAGACAACATTTTTCCAATCTTCTATAGTCCAGATTTGGCGAGCGACATTTGATGGACCATTCTCTGTAAACTCTAAAGATGGTTGTGCATGACAATCCCAGCAGATCAGAAGTTTCTTAGACACTCAGACCAGCCTGTCTGGCCCATCAACCATGCAAAGTTCAAAGTCACTTAAATCACCTTTCTTCCCCATTCTGAAGGTCAGCTTGAACTGCAGCGGTTCATCTAGACCATGTCTACATGCCTAAATGCATTGAGGCTGCATGGTGGCGCAGTGGTTAGCACTGTTGCCTCGCAGCATGAAGGTTGCAGGTTCGAAACTCGGCTGCAGCCTTTCTGCGTGGAGCTGCGTGTTCTCCCCATGCATGCGTGGGTTTCCTCCGGGTACTCCGGTTTCCCCCACAGATCACAACATGCCCTATAGGTTATAAATTGTAAGTCGCTTTGGATGAAAGCGTCTGCTAAATGAATAAACATAAACATGTGATTGGCTGATTAGTCATTTGTGTTGGACAAGTGTACCCAATAAAGTGGCCAGTGAGTGTATTCACTTTAATTTTTTTAACACCAATTAAATCTTTATTTCTTTGGCAGAGGGCTGTTCCAGAAAACAATAACTTGGAAATCTTGGAAGTTTTTGTGCATCTTTGTATTTTATGTGAAGTTTATAAATGTGTTCTAAAAGGCAGCTCAGGTCATTGTGCTGAAGCTATTTAAATCTTTGTTGGAGCCTTTGTGAAAACTTTCTTTTACCTAATAAAGTTCAGTTCAAAAGTTTGAAACTTGCAAGTGTCACGTAGTTCCAGGATGCAGCCAGCAGGCGGCAGCACCAGATCACAACAAGCTGTCAGTCTCCTTTACGAAAGGGTTCAACAGGCGACTGGACTTCTTTAGTTTCTTGAAGGCGATTTGCTTCTCATCCAAGGAACTTTTTCACTTCTGACTGGAATAAGGGAGAATCAAGCTCAAAAACGGTGGCTGTCTATTGTTGCATGACGAGCATAAACTCCCTCTGAATACCCCTCTTCCCTACCCCCTGATGGGCCGTTAGTCTCTATTGAGAGTGGGGTCTTGTATTGATTAGATGAAGGAGGGCGGGACTTAGACGGAAACTGTTTTGGAATCACATTTAGAGCTGCAGTGTAGGTGCTGGAAAGATGAAATCTGAGTCGCCCCTTCCCCCATCCATTTGTTTTTCCTATTTGACATTGTGGCGCCGAGGGCACTTGTCAGGATGACCCTCATGCGCTCCGGGAGGAAAAGTAATACCGAGGAGGCCGTTGTCCAGTGCAGACCCAAGTGTACTTTATTTACATTTTACAAAATTAAAATCTAGGCAGCACAACTCCATGCCTGCCGCTCCATCCATCACTCAACCCTCCACTCAACTCCAACAAACACAGAGCTGTATTTATAACAGGCATGACTAATTGGATTAATCCTAAAACCCAGACACAGGTAAATACAAAAATACAATCTTTCATTACTCTTAAATTATCCTTAAATCATCATCTCTAAGATCTCCGTAAATAATTACAATACAAAAATAGAAACATCCTTAATCAATCCTAAAAACATTCATTGAAACTAATCTGCCTTCCTTAGAGCAATTTCACAGGTCACCCCTCCCATTCCTCCTGAATGGAATGCTCCGGAACCTTCTTTAGGTGCTCCAGCCCCAGGGACTCTTTCAGCTGGAACACCTCCAGAAGCACAAGGGAAACAGGTAAGTACAAACATTCAATCATTTACCACTTTAAATCCTCAATATTCATACCAACTCTTCTTCTTACATGTCCAAATGCTTCACCCCTTCCAAATAAACATTAAACCAATTATTGAGCCTGGTTTAATTTATCCTACAATCATAGCAACAGCCTGTGTAATGGACTTGCTACATTACAGACATAGATGGCTTCCTTTACCCCTCTCCCAAACAATCTGTCATCTCTGTCAATAATGTGTATTTTGTTATCTCGTTGAAGGACTAACTCATATTTGCTTTTTACAGCCATGGAATATACACAATGTTAGATATTTGGCTGTAATTTGTGTTCCAGTAGTACAGAATAGTATAGCACCACTCAAGTTTTGGAAGACTGACGGCAGCTAGGGATTTGCGCTGGTATAGTCTCTTATTCTTGGTTTCTCCCTACTCCAGAAGTAAATACCCACAGCAGAATGTACTTTTTTCCAACATCTTTGTGATGATGCCAACAGCAGCATAGAGCTAAAAAGGTTTGTGCGTGGTAAGATATTCATTTTGATAAGTGATAAACGAGACTGGAAGGACTGGGAAGCACTGATTTTGCACAGTTCGCTTTACATCCTGAGATGTTACCAAAATGTTCCAAAGTTTGCAGAAGGAAATGTAAAAATTAGGTTGGATTGCTTGTATAGATTAAAATATCGACAGGTGCGTGAGGTGTTATGTGCCATTATGGTTCCACTCCTCTAGGTTGTCTAAGGAATTGTGCAAAGGGCTCTGGTGAGAGACAACACAGGAATAGTGACAACAGGAAGCCCTGTTATGAAGGTCGAGACATTGTGAACCTTCAGGAGCAAGTGCTGCCCTTATCACCACTGCTGTTGGAATCACATACAAAGTTTGGATCATGGAGATAAAGCCTGTGCCAAAACCCATTTTTTGGCACACAGACTATAGATATCCCCATTCGAACAGATGAAATGCCGTCTCAGGATTCATTTAGAGAATAACATTCTTATTAGGGGGGATTTAGTTGGATCAGCCAGTATCAGAAGATGCATACCGTGAGTTTATGAAACCTGTTTGATCATGATGGACAAGATGTGGCATATGATGCATTTTTAAAGAGGGACTGTACACATCAGAAAACGTAACTCCACCCCTAGTCAAGATTTGAAAAATGCTATGAAAGTGGGCGTGGACATGCGTGGGGAATTTCCATCCCGGGAGGGAGGGGGAGTGGGAGGAGACTGTACCGATGACGTGAAACATTTCCAGCCCCAGTCAATCACACATTTAAAATGCAGTAGCCACAGTTAAACCCACAGGGGGCAGCACTAAGACGTTTTAATCAAGTTTACACAAACATGTCGACAAATGCACAGAAACAGAAATATTGCATTTGTAAAGACCCAATTATACAGTACACACACACACACACACCAGTTATTTTGGGGTTTAGTTACTCTAAGTTTTTAAACACAGGAAAAGTTTTTTAAAAGGCTTCTTAAAAAATAGAATAACTTGAAATGAATTCAGAAGAAAAATAGAACGAATGTACAAAATTATTTTCTTGTCTCATAGCTAATACTTTTGCATATATTTGCATGCCGGTGTTTTTCAAAAAGACTGAGAAGATGACATTTTACCTTTTTCTACAATAAGAAAATGATAGCCACATTGCAGCCATCAGCAAACGTCCATTACACATTGAATAATGTAGCATTTCTAATAGAAAGGGACCAAGCTGAGTCCAGAATGCAATGTGAAGCTTGGGAAGGATCCCACTGATGCCTGCTGATCTACCTTCATACTACGTACAGCTTGTGTTAATTATTTTAACCCTCTGGAGGCAGGCATTACAGATTTGCAACAGTTAAAACCTACCTGCCTGGTTACTCCACACATGTATTTCATGAACATTTTTTAACTCAGAAGTACCCCTGAAGGACTTAGCTGTTCTTCCTTTATCAAAACTTATTTTGAGCCTTAATGTAAGTGCAGGGGGTCTGCATTTTCAGATGTGATTTTAGGGAATTCAACTGAATTTAGAAAACTATTGCTTCTCTCTTCATAGTGATGTACTTCTGAGGTATGATGGTTTAACGCTTTTACAAACAGGATCAGTTGTGATGGTTTCCTGCAGGAATAGCTGATAACTGTCCACAGCTTCTGATTTTAAGAGCAGCAAGGCGACTAAGATGGGCATCATTTAAATAGTGCTTCTGTCAGGTTCTGTGCATTTGAAATTCTGCTTTCTGTCTCAGCAAACGTAACTTTTCCATTGGTTTCTGTCATTTTTTGGTATTCTCAGCCATCATTTTTCTTGCCATGTCCAAGTCTATTTCAGGTTTCTCCTTTTCTAGCTTCTTTAAATTTGTTGGTTTATTTGATCTTGATGCAAATCAGAAATGTTTCTAGCTTCATGGGGAGGAGAAAGGCCTGATGACACATTAGAAACCAATACAATGTTCTGGATACTGAGAACCACTGGCTTAGAGACTTATTTCCTGACAGGTGGACATCTCACCTCTGATTGGCTCAGCAAATCTACTGCTGACCCCGTTTGCTTTGCTTTGATGTTTTGTCTCCACAAATAAAACAAGCCTGAAGGAGTTCTGCCGTGTGGCGGAGTTCGCTGGAGCAACCATCACCAGTCTTTGTCGTTGCGAGCCAAGTTGGGTGAATCCGTGCTGAATGCTGATGGCGTGACGGAGATCTAGACTTCTCAGAACCAAGAGTTTTCAGTCTATTTTGTATCAGAAGCTGATTCGGGAAAAAGGAGTAAAAGACACTTTTCACATTCAGCCTGCATGTTAAACCCCAAGTGACCGATCATTTTAAAAAAATAACAAGTCAAAATGTTTTTTTTCAGTGAACCTCTATTTAAAAGGCAACGAGCAGAACCACTCAGAGACTAAACAGCAAATGGATCTGGATGTGGAGCTCCAGTTTGAAAGAAATGACACGAGCCAGACAGGAAGTGAGACGTGTTCCAGTGAGGTGCATCTGGTTCATTTCAGCCCTCTCTGCATTAAAGGAGCTGAGGTGGAGAGAGTTCCCTCCTTTAAGTTTCTCGGGATTTACATCTCTGAGGATCTGTCATGGACAATCAATACCACTGCCTTGGCCAAAAAAGCACTACAGCGGCTGCACTTCCTGAGAGTCCTGAAGTGGAATAGGCTGCAGACCAACCTCTTGGTGTCTTTTTATCGAGCGGTCATTGAGAGCGTGATGACTTACGCTATCCCTGTGTGGTACGTCGGGTGCACAGTAGCTGATAAAAACAGATACCAGAGGGTCATTAGAGCGGCGGAAAAGGTGATTGGATGCACCCTTCCCTCCTTGGACACTATCGCCCTGCAGAGGTGTCTCACTAGAGCAAGGACCATCTCCAGGGACATTTACCACCCAAACCACTACCTTTTTGCCATGCTGCCATCTGGGAAAAGGTTCAGATCCCTCAGCTGCAGGACCGACAGACTGAGGAAGAGTTTCTTTCCCTGGGCTATTAGAACCCTGAATGGACAGAAAAATCAACCCTATTGCTATTATTTATTGTATTTTGTAATGTTTTTGTTTTTATTGCATGGTGCATATTGTACTTGTTTTAGCTATTTTTCTTAGTATTTTTAGCGGATGCCTAATGTGGAGCTCTAGGAAATTTCGTTGAATGTGCAATCATTTAATGACAATAAAGGATATCTAATCTAATCTAATCTAATCTAAAATGAAACCCATGTTGTATCACCAGCTTTAGTTTTATTAATGATGGCGGGGATAGCAGTTCACAGTGGTAACAGTTCACTTCTGTTTTGAAAGCAAATCTTTAAATGTATTATGTCAAATTCCTGATTGCTTGCTCCTCTTGTGCACAGACTTCATGAGATATTTAGTGAAACATGCTTTAGCGAGCCTTCTAAAAGCATTGTTAATTCAAAAGAACCTTCCCAGGCTAGATTAGGATTAGGAACCATGGGGTGGGAAGCTGTCTCTGGACATCCTGGGCAGCTAAAAGATGGGAAAAAAAAGTCTCTTTTGTCAAAATGTGTTTTTATAAAGTTCAAAGTTGTGCATGAAAAAAACATGCAAGCGCCACACGTGTAATAGATTACAGTTATTTAATGAGCCATAAGGCGTGGGATTCCATAGGAAATATGGAATCCACCTTCTGGATCGGTGGGTTATTTAAACCAGAAGATTGGATCTTTTTATTGCAGGGATTAGATAACCGCTCCGTATTCACTCGGAGACAACAGAAGAAAGAGAGTCAAGTTTAAAAGTTAAGAATTTTATTACTAACAAATTAAACTAGACTGACTTTAAATCTAAATGTATGGTGTAACTAAAATGGATGAGACGATGAATGGATGACGTGTGATGTTAATCAGAACCAGCAAATCAGAAGCGATTGTTCTGATGGGAACCAAAGGTGTTGTCTTCGCATTAAGCTTTGGTTAGGTGGTTCAGAAACACATGATACACCATCATGTTGGTCTACCTACCCTTGGTGGAAGTCCTCTGTAGTTCAGGAATATCGAGGTCCAGTAGACCCTCTCTAGAACCGAGCCAGTAGGAAAAGCCGCGGTTCCGATCAAACCCGTCTTTGAGTTACTTCCGGGTACACAACAAGTTATTGGCGTCTGGTGAGACCCAAGCCTGGGTCCAGAAGGTTGAGCTTTTATTCTGAAAGGAACTGCTGCTGCTGTTGGAATAGCGACTGAATTTTTCAGCTTGTCGTTGTTCTTTCGGTTAAAGAGTTTAGATCAGGATTGGCCACTCCGTCACTTTCTCTGGAACGCTTTGAACTGGCGTTAGAGCTGACGTGGCATAGTTTTATACTTCGGATGTTATGGTTTATTGTCGAATGAAAAATTACCAAACACCGTCAGAAGCACGCCTCCGTCAGATCTGTAAGATTCTGATTGGATCAGTGAAAGTAATGTGTTGTGTCTTTTAACGCTACGTGAGATCAGTCCTGTTGGAACACTTAAAGTTACAGTACCTTTATATTCTATAGGATTATAATAAAGTAATTAATATTTTGATTTCACAGATCGGTCACATCTTATTTATTGACTAACACTTGATGGATTAGCTTTATTAAAATAGAGTTCTTTGATTAATTAAAAGAAAAGAGTTCATTCTTCATTCTTCTGTTGAGCTGAAAATAAGCAGGTTAGAAGGAATGCAAGAGACCTTGAGACCATATCTCATGCAGACTAGTCTTGAGCAAACAAGGGAAAAAACACATGTTCCGTTCCGTTACACATGCATGTTTTTCCTCCTCTGCATCGTGTCAGCATCAGCTGATCCACCACCATTAAAAATAAAGAAAACCTTGTGACATATTGGTATCACTGACTCTAAAATAAAGAGAGACGTGTGTCTGTAGCTTCTCAGAAGCGTTGAGGCTTATAATGAGGCTGGCTAATCAGAAATAAACCTGCAGCCCAGAGCAGTGAGGCGGTTTCAGCTCTCATTGCATCAGCTCTTTCTAACATGTGCATGAACACATGAACATGTTCTGATGTATCAACCGCGTCTCTGAGACCGCTGTGGTTCACGAGGATCAAGTGTTTCTGAGGAAATGAGCTTCGCTGTTCAGTCATCATGAAGACCGTGTTCGTGTCTCTCCTCTTTGGTGAGTCTGCTACAGGTTCTCGACCCTCACCCGTTCATGTCTGATATGATATGAAATTCTGCAGCGACTTAGTTTAGATGACCTCGTTCTTCTCAACAAGACAGAATATCAGGATTAAACTAGAGTTTATAAAACGGGAATATAATGAATCTGCTAAGCATCAACATGCGACGAGGTTGCCACCACCACGGCCGCAGTCTCAGCTTTTACCTGTTCAGGCCAGATGTTCTTATGGGATGGGTGTGTGTAGGGTGTCAGATTGCTGACCGTTGACCTCCAATGATCTCTGATTCAAGTTACAGGTATGTCCATGCTGCTGTCGACTGGATCACCCGCATCTGCAGGTAAGTCCAGATGGTGATGGTGGTGGTTGAAATCAACAACAGACCAGCAACGATGTCATTAAATTTGTTCTTCTCTGTATCTCTGTATGTCCTCCAGTGTCTCTGACCATCAGCCCAAATCTTCAGCAGGTCTTCGTAGGAGAGTCTTCCATGTCTCTGAGTTGTGTTGAAGATGGACAGGCTGCTGATGGACGGACAGTGAAGACGACCAACGAAGGACAACCTGCTGGCTGTGGAACAGCTGGTCCTCATTCTGGGAAGGTTAAAGGTTCCTCCTGTGTTCTGGATCTCATGAAACCCTTCACTGCATCATACTGGTGTGGGACCAGCTCAGGACCGAGAGAGCAGATCACCATCATCGTTACTGGTACATGAACTGGTTCCATCTGCTGCAGCACATCATCTGGACATGATTCTGCTCTGATAAACTAACTGTGTGTTTTTGTTGTCCAGAGGGAAATCTGATCCTGGACATCCCTGCGCTTCCTGTAGAGACAGGAAATGACGTCACCCTGCGCTGCAGACAGAAAGATCGTGGTCCAGTTTCAGCTTACTTCTACTTTAATGGAAGTCTTGTTCAAAATCAAGAACAAGATGAAGAACACATCATCCATAACGTCCAGTGTTCTGATGAAGGCTACTACTCGTGCTACACTCATTTACATAGAGATTCTCCTCAGAGCTTCCTGAGGGTCAGAGGTGAGGGCAGTGGCATCACTTCCTGTTTAAACACAAGAACTAATCTGCTGAGCTGATAACAAACAGCTGTGTGACTGAAGCAGCTTCTGTCATTCCTCCTGCAGATCCTCCTCTTCCTCACACCACCACAGCTTCCACTCCTCCCGGAGACTCTTCTGCTCCATCAGCTGTCTTCATCCCTCCTAAAAACACAAGCTGTCCTCCTCTTTTCTATCCTCGGCATCTCGTCTATCACCTGATAGTCTTCTGTCCCTACTGCATCTCCACCATCCTGCTGGTGTCAGTCTGCAGACACAGGAAATCAGGTCAGTCACCAACAACTAGAAATCAACAGGTTGAGCGGGTTGTCCAGTAATCGGAAGGTTGCAGGTTCGATCCCAGCTCCGGACAGAGAATTCTGCTGTTGTGTCCTTGGGCAAGACACTTAACCCACCTTGCCTGCTGGTGGTGGTCGGAGGGACCGGTGGTGCCTGTGCTCGGGAGCCTCGCCTCTGTCAGTGCGCCCCAGGGCAGCTGTGGCTACATTGTAGCGCATCACCACCAGTGTGTGAATGAGTGTGTGAATGGATGAATGATACACTGTAGTGTAAAGCGCTTTGGAGACTTTACTCTGAGAGGCGCTGTACAAGTGCAGGTCATTTATCATTTCACAAACTTTCGTCCTCCATCCTAGTGTTTTTTAGGGTTCTACAATCCTGCAAGGCACTTACACACACACACACACACACACACACACACACACACACACACACACACACACACACACACACACACACACACACACACACACACACACACACACACACACACACACACACACACACACACACACACACTAGGGGCTGCATGACTTAGTTTTTTTTAAAGTAAATCGTCAAGTAATGAAAATCGAGTCGACTTCGACTAGTCGTTGATGACGTCATACACATTTTGGGGGGGGGGGGTCGCTGGAGTTTTTGACAATTAAAATTGCGTCCACATTTTCTAAGTTAAACGCATATCTTTTAACAACGGAAGTTTCTGCTTCTTTCTGCTTCAGCCCTCTCCCCTGGTTAGTTCTGGTTGGCGCTGGCAGGGGGCGTGTTTAGCAAAAATAAATAAATAAATAAAAATAGATGTATTGCTTACATTATATTACAGTACATGATAAGATAATCACTTTCTGAATCAATCAATCAATTTCTGAAAAATCCTACATAATTCCTGAAAGGGGAAATCTCCTTATTGCAGCTTTAACACCTCTGCCACTGTCACCGCCATTAAAGGGACTTTACGGCATTTTGAATTTTTATGCTCGCGATTGCCCCCCTCAGGCCAAAAGCATAATGGCAGCTTCAATAGTAGGCTCGTGCATGAGGCGCGCATGCTGTACGTGCACACTCCTTAATGAAAATAACAGCTGAGACAGTCCCGTGTGTGTGTGTGTGTGTGTGTGGCCCAGAGGACAGAGGACGGGAGAACGCGCAGCTAATTAATTCATGTGGTTCTGTAACTTTCTCTTCAGCACAGCCGACAAAGGTTTAAGATGGGTCAGTCCTCCTGCATGCTCAGATCATTCCCTTCCCTTGCTTGAATAATTGTTCCAAAATGAAAGTTAAACCCACTTTTTTTATCTGTGAATTCAATGCCGTTCGGCGAGTCTCAAATAAAAATTTGGGCATCTTTCTGTAAAAAAATATTATTAATGTAAAACAGAAACTCTAAATAAACTATATTCACAGTCAGAATCAAACCCAGGACCTCTGTACGGGAGTCCGACGTTTTACTAGATGAGCTTAAGCGCCATTGACGTCCTTTGCATCCATAACATTTATATCCATGATGACAGCTGAAACAACGTTCAAAGAACGGTTCAGAGCGAAAATGGCTATTTTGTTGCTAATGTGCAGGAAATATCTAGAAGAAAGTAGCCAAGGGTCCTCAGAAATGTAGCTAGCTTTGTCACTAGGCGTTAGGAACAGCTAAAGCGACGGATAGCAAATGCTACGGGCTATGCCTGAGCGTGAACGCGCATGAAGCAGCCTGCTCGACCCCAGCAACTCTCTTTTTCTGTGATTTTACAGAAAAACTGGCAATCACAGTAAAAATGCTAGGGCTCATTCTACATGACCAGGGCATTGGTCGTTATCGGCCATGTTACCATTACCTGCCATTTTTATAGCAGAAAGTTTTATTCTATTTTATTCTATTTTTAATCTTATTTTGTTTTCATGTTATATGTAGCACATTAGTACCAAAGCAAGTTCCTAGTTTGTGAATTGTTTGTTCACTGACAATGGCAATACACCTTTTCTGATTCTGATTGCAGGAGAATGTATGAAGAAGACATATTTTATTTCTATACATGTTTTGGCTGTCAAACTTCCATAATGCCCCTTTAATGATGTTGACTACAAACAAAACTATCCAGAACATCAAACACTTCAACAGTTTTATAAAACACGAGAAATGCTGAAAGTTTATAATCTCTCTGACCTTTTCACACGCGGTCATTAGTTAGCTAACAGTAAAACAACCAATCACACTAAAGAGCATTGTCTCATCAAATATTTTAACTCTACCCACAGGAAACCTACCAGCTGTCTCCGTGGAGACCACCCAGCCTGCTCAACACGACGATGATGTCATCGCTGATGTCGCCTCCGAGTAGTGCTTCTGATGAATGATTTTATTCAACAACTTATATTAAAACAAAAACAAATTGAATTTAATTTAGTTTCCACCAATTTAGCAACACATTCTACAAGTGGTGGAAATTTTCCTATTTCCTAATTACAGGCAACATAAAACTTTTAATAAGAATCAGAAAGAGAGAAATAAAGAAGGAAAGAATGATTCCAGACAGAGACTAATTAAACCCAATTGTAATCTATTAGTTACAGATAAAATGTTAATGAAGATATTTACTTTGATTTTCAGCAATTATTTTCTGCCACAAAAGGGTTCTGATGCTGATTTGTTGTTATTTGGCTGCTTTTATGTTTTCCTTGTGTTTTCACAACTTTGGCCCAATCCCAATACTCGCATTGCGTCCTATGGTTTTCAGCAGGGGCGTGTCCAGGGAGTGGCCTGGGGTAGCACATGCCACCCTTAGAATCTGATTGGCCACCCCAGGTGCCACCCTACTAAGTTCCAGTTTAAATTTAATTTACATTGTTGACAAAAGGCTTGAGTTAAAAACTCCAAAAACAGTGAGTGGTAGCATGCACCTTTAACATTGTCTTCTAGTCCAGGCCTACAAAACATTTCTGTAGTATTAATATTATTATTTTTTCATATTCACATAAATAGTATTTAGAGTCCCACTCAACTCAGTTGGTGGTGATAATGCAACAAGAAGTGACTTGCTAACCACCACAAAACTAGAAGATGAATAGAAAAAAATGGTAATTGTGCAATGTGGAACTCCAAAATTCACTAGAAAGTAAATAAATAAACGAATTGTGTAAATAAATAAATAAGCATAACCATTGGTGCCACCCATGCATAAACAAGTGTCCCACATGGGCCACCCCATTTTAAAAGTCCTGGACACGGCTCTGGTTTTCAGCAAAGTACACTTGGAGGAAGTGTGCAGTAAGTTGCATGTTGTACTGTTGCATGCTTTAGGCCCATGCTTGTTTTTAACTAGGGAAGCTGAGCTGGATTAACTGTTATTAATTGGGTTTTTAAGCTGTATGTTTTAGTCCATGTATTTTTTATGTTGAAATAGTTGCCTTTACAATGTTGTGCATGGCTTTGTTTGGCCCTTGGCCCAAGTGAAGGCGCTATATAAATAAAGATGAATGTGACCATGAACATACCTGGGGTGCTAATTATAGCTGATGACAGGGTCATCGCAGCACGATCAGAACATGAACATGATGAGATTTAGCAAAAGATCGTGGAGAGAGTGAAAGCTGCAAATGTGAAGTTAAATAAGGACAATATTCAATTCAAAGTGGAATCTGTGAAATATACAAGGCACATCACCACAGCCGTTGGTCAGAAAGCTGACGAAATAAAGATCATAGCCATAGTTGACACGCCCACCTTAGAGGACAAGTAAGGTCTCCAAGGCTAGAAGAAGAAACAATTTTTTAAAGAGCCTCTCAAGATAAAAATCACTAGGTCCTTCATAAGAATAAACAGTAAAAAAAGTACATACAGAAAGCATTCAGACCCCATCAACTTTTTACTCTTAGCTTTATTGCAGCCATTGTCTAAAGTCAATTATTTTTTTCCTCATAAATGCACACACAGCACCTCAAATTGACAATAGAACTTTAGAAATTTCTGCAGATTTACTAAAAAAGAAAAACTGAAATATTTTATGAGCATTTAAACACGCCACACAAGACAAAGAGCAAAAAAAGAAGTATTTTAATAATCGATTAAATCGATTAGTTGTTTCAGCTCTAGTTTTATTACAATTATCCAACGTTTGCCGCGTTCCGGATCATGGGGAAACCTGTAGAAGGCTCATTCCTTATTCCGTCTGTTCTGCATCCTGGGGCACAACAGGAATCTACCATATTTCCCATTTGATTGAGTTTTCTGACAATAACAAATAGTCCAGCTGCGGGCTTCTGCCTGCCAATATGGCGCCGTTTCGATTTGAACTGTTGCATGCCGGGAGAAGTGACGTCAACTCCCGGAGCTCTATAGGAACCTCTGCAGCTCCTACCAGGACTCTGGCTAGCCAATCACGGCTCTCTAGAGGGGTTTCAAACACATAAAGAGCTGTGATTGGTCCATAATGGTGGGCCAATCATAGTGCTCTATCTGCTTAGTGAACAAATCACAGAGCTTTATCCGCTTTGTGGGCCAATCAGGGCACTCTATATGCCTGGTGGGTGGGATGATGCAACAGAGTGGAACAAGAGTATGTCACATTCATTGTCCAGTGGAATGTGGAGATCATTTGAAAGAAAACGGTAGAACCCGCCCCACAACTGAGAGCCGTCAATGGAGCGTGGCCAGACTAAATAATACATTTATTTAGTCTGGCTTGCCAGGCTAGGGGCCAAAACTTGACTTTGGAAAAAGTCCCCCCCCCCCCCCCCCCCAAATTACGTCCATGCAGTCTAAAGTAAACACTTGGACACAGCAGCAGAACTTTCTCTGAATTACAAAAGCCCAAGAAGTTATGGAAATATTCCTAAAATTAAACATTCAAAAGAGGCTAATTTGATTTAATAACAAAACTGATATATAACTCAGCCCTACATCTCATCTGTGATGAGTTTTAATGTGATCAGTGAAGTTCCCAGTCTCTCATGTGAATGGCTTCTTACTTTTGTGAATTCTGATGTGCCTAGTCAAATGGTTTCTGCAAGCAAAAGATTTACTACATACTTTACACGAGTATGGTTTCTCACCTGTGTGGGTTCTGATGTGATCAGTCAAGGTACCACTCCGAGTAAAACATTTACCACAAGTTTTACATTTAAAAGGCTTTTCACCTGTGTGAGTTCTCATGTGAGTAGTCAGGTTACTACTCCTGGAGAAACCTTTGCAACAAGTTTCACATTTAAATGGTTTCTCACCTGTGTGACTTCTGACGTGCATAGTCAAGATTGAACTCCGAGAAAAACATTTTCCACAAGTCAAACATTTAAATGGCTTTTCACCGGTGTGAGTTCTAGTGTGATAATTCAACGTACCCACCTGAGAGAAACATTTCCCACAAGTTAAACATGTAAAGGGCTTTTTACCTGTGTGAGCTATCATGTGAACGGTTAATTCACAGTTGTAACTGTAGGATTTCCCGCAGATTTTACAAGAAAATAATTTATTGCCTCTGTGAGCCCTCTTGTGCCTTTTTAGTTTCTGACTGTCGACACCGTCTCTGTGATCTTCGGTCTGTTGACGACTTTTATTTTGTGTCAGTTCTTCATTGCTGTTTGATTCGGAGTTTTCATTCCTGCATCCATCCTGATCTTGGTTCTCAGCTTCAGCAGAACTCTGACACAAGGGTTGGTTCCTGTTTGGTTCTGGTTCACAGCAGTCTGTATCTCCAGAAGGAGAAATCACCAATGAGGTAAGATTTTCCTCCTTCAAAATAAACTGTCCTTCCTGCTGATGGATACAAATTTCCTGCTGTTCCTCTTTGATCAGTGGAGGTTCTGGTTCCTTCTGGTCCAAACTGGTGGTGGTCTCCTGGTTAGAAAACTTCTGGTCAGTCAGAACCTTCTCCTTTTCCCAGGAATGATGCTGTGGAAGTTCTGGACAGGCGAAAAGACAAAAGAAAATGTTGATTAATCTGACAGATCTAAAGATGTTAAGCAAAAATAATGAACCTTCAGATTTGCCGTTCCTTGAGGGACAAAAGCAAAGTGTTTGAAGCTTTTACACAAATCTAGTTTGTTTGCTTTAAACTGACTCACTGAAGTGGTGAATCCTTCCTTCCTGGTTTTGGATCTCAGCCGCAGGAGACAGTGAAGAAAGGAGCTGGTGTCTGTCTGGTTCTGGTTCATGGTGGTCACTTTGCTCATCAGCAGGAGTCACAAGGGAGGTAACCGTCTCCTGCTTCAGTACAAACTGCTCTTCATCCTGACTGATGCTGAACTCCTCTTGTTCTAGAATCTGCAAAGGTTCTGGATCATCCTGCTCCACTTTAATGTGTGGAGGTTCTGATCCATCCTGTAAAGGTTCTGGTTGTTCCTGGTCCAAACTGCAGCTCCTCTCCTTGTCCCAGAGCTGCTGGTCAGTCAGAAACCTCCTATCTCTCCTGCCATAATGGAGTGGGAGTTCTGGACAAATAACAGACCAAACAAAAAGCACACTTCACATTACTCATCTGATGCATCTGTAACGTAAGCCCACAGCCTGCTTCACCAGTGTGCCAAAGGTCAACTTTATGCTGTCCACCCATGACACCAGGAGGAAATAATAATTAAATATGTCCTGACTTGTCCGTGTCCTTATCGGGCCTACAACGCCAAGGTCCCGTCACAGGAGATGACTTTTCTCTTTTAATAAATATATCTTATCCTGTCTCATAAAATGATTTCCAAACTTTACAAGTTATTTACAGTCATATTCTGTTTAATCTACGAAGAATGTTTTATCTAAAGATTTATAATGTCTTGACTGCTTTCCGGTAATGAATGAATCAAAATAAATATTTATTGTTTCATTCCTTATTTCAGAATACACCAAATGAGCCTACTTGATGATTTAATAATCATTTATTATCAGTATAGTCTCATATTAATATTGGTATTAGGGCTGCACAATATATCGAAAAATTATTGTCATCGCGATAACAGGACGTGCGATAGGCCCATCGCAAAGCACGTCAAAAATGGCGATAAATGTTTGGTTCAACATTTCCATCCGTGTCATACATCAACTTTTTGTAAACCAGCTCTGTTTTTTACGCGGAAGTATTATTTGACCAATCAAATGTAGTCCTCCTGATAAGCGGCCAATCAGATGGGTCCGTTCACGTAATACGTCCGCCCCCTACGTAGACCCTTAGGATGAAAAGCAACACCCGAACTGAGTTAGCGGCGCCGTTCCCTTGTTCGTCATGCTGGCTCAGATTAACGAACGCACTTTGTGCTGAGGTTTCTGGATTCAGCGCTGCTTTCAAACGTGAACGTGAGTCCGCTCGATGTCGTTAATCATTTTTACCGGGATGACTCCGACACGTGCCAGTGAACCAACCCACCTACCTCCATGTCGCTAGTGTTCCACCAGGTGGTGATGTTAGCCCCAGGCTCCGGTTAGCTTCCAGCTAAAAGGCTACAGCACTCTCCTCCCAGTCCCACCCTGCTAAAGAGGGCCTGGAAAAGTTCCCCCACACATCAAAGTGATTTTTCATTTATTAGCTTTTATAACCTTGTTAATCAGGATAGTTGATTTGCTGCTGCACATAAACTGTCAGTCAGAAGCTCTGCTAGCCAGTTATCTTAAGAGGAGCTAGTTCAATTTGTTAGCTTGTTATCAGAATCATAGTTGCTGTTTCATCATCTGAGCTGCTTTTTAAGATCTAGGTAAACTTGTTCAATTTGGGGTTAAAAACAAACGTTTTCACATATTTTCCATGTAGTTTTTTTTTTTTTTTACCAGTTCCTCTTCTGAAAAGGTAGACAATTGTTTTTCTCTTTCCTTCAGAAAATCTTAATATTCTAGTTTGGCCCAGCACAGTTCACTTCCCAATAGCAGCAACAGACTTATATCATAACCACATAAGTGGAGAAAATGCTCCGTAGCAACGAGAGAGAACTTGCTGTTGCATTTAAGTGATGTTAACAATTATTTAACATTTAAACTTATTTTCTGATTTTTTTTTTTATTTATTAAAAAAAAAAACCTGGTAAGGGATGTTTTTCTGTATTTGGAGCATCAGAAAAAGTTTTATGGTGAAGGTGATGTTTTAAAGTCACTGAGAAACTGCATGCATGCAGTTTGCTGTTTTGCTGCTAATATAGTAGCAGGTGCAGCTGCTAATACAGTAGCAGGTGCAGCTGCATATTTTTGCAATAAAAATGTTATGTTGTAATGGAATTCATGCATTAGTTTTTGTTTGCTTTGAACCCAGAGCAGACGTCACACGCCAGACGACATCAACACTGCATACTTTAGTGTTTGTTTATTTATCGTGAGTAATATCGATATCGCAATATTAAGCACTGTTATCGAATATCTCAGGTTTTCCTAATATCGTGCAGCCCTAATATCGTCCATTTATCGTTATCGAGGTGAAATCCTCAATACATCGTGATATTGATTTTAAGCCATATCGCCCAGCCCTACACAATATTATTAATAACAAGTCTGGATGTGGTTTAGTCTGAGGTATAAAGCTCTGCCCTGGGCCTAAAACTCTGCAGACAGATTTAGTTTCTATAAACACCAACAACAAATAAATAACAGCAGCTGATTCCACTTTGTTCCTTAAATTGAGTCACGTAGTTTTGCATGTTCTGCACGCTCACAGGACTGGATATATAATCAATCAAATATAATATTATAATGTTGTGAACATCTATAGA